TGCGACAACGACGTTAGGCAATGGCACCCAACGGAACGGGATGGAATATGACGGTCAGTTGGGAAAGTGCGCCGTGAGACGCAATTAAGCTTGAAAATTGGGTTGTGAGACGCAGGTTTTGGAAGTCGCGCCGCGAGACGCAAGTGATTTAGAAGTTGCGCGCTGGGACGCAATTAAGTTCGGAATTGGAGCTGAGCAGCCGAAGAGGAACAAGGACAGAAAGGCTGCGTACGGAACGCGGCACACGGACGGGTTGTAGTGGATTGGACGAACGGATGGAACGGACGAATTGAACAGCGCCGACATCGATGGAGGCAACAGACTGTGTACGGCGGACGTGAACTCTGGTGGTATGTGGAGCGAGCGGAGGAGGACTGCGTTGGTGGTCTAAGTCTGCTGAACGGTTGCGATTGGAAGGTTAGGCGCACGAGGCGTACACTAGGTGAGCGTCGGTCGCGGACTCAACTAAGGGCATCAGCTCTGCGTTAGTGTATGGTGAGTATTTTAGTCGTAGAAAGTGCGGTTGATTTTTAATTTTGGAAGGTACTAAAGTAGGTCGAGGTGTCAACTGGCCACCGACCAGCGCGCAAGACTAGTTGTTCTCGTCTGCCATCCGAACGTTGGACGTGAACACATGGAATGAGGATACATATATTCTTCTATTCGGCAGAATCGCTAAATATTAAAGCCACCCTCGAGGGGGACACCACTCGCTAATGCCTGTCCCAGTAATTCGTTTTGCTGTCATATAGTAGTTCGAAAGCAATATTAAGATGCAGGAAAATGCCAACTAAAACATTTCACAAAAGGCAGAGCCACTAAATCGAAGGATAGACGAAACGCTGCTTTGGAGCTGACAGTAGTGATGTGTAGCGTGTTTCAGCTTCCCCAGCACGCTGGGGTTGGTCGCCCAGTGCCGATCTGGCTCAAGCTTCATATTCATCGATTCTCATTTAACCGTCACATTCAATGTGATGGCTAAAAGAGCATGTTCCTACCTTATAAAGACATCCTTCGCCGAATGAAGCTGTGATATTTAGGGAGGAAACATAATGTACCAAAGTTTAATCGTTGGGTATACCGTATCTGCTTAGTCGTTGGCGACAAGGGGCTGACAGAGGCTATTCTTCAAATCCTAAGATTTACATGATACATAATGGTGATTTATCGGAAAGATAAACACAGCAATATATATTATGAATTGCTTGTCTTCATTCTCACTCTCATCCTCAATACCGCTGCTTTTATCTTCGAGTCGCTAGTGCGCTATTTGCTGATAAGTTGCTGCTTTGACCGGCGCTCCTTATCAGTTAAAGTGCCGTAGAAGTAGTCCAACGCCTTATTAGGCGTGTAGACGCCTTGTATGTAGTTGATAATGTCTTGCTTGTGGCCATATTCGACACGTACGCGCTTGTATCGTTTGAGATTCTTCTTCGTGCACTTGATGGTGGGCAGTGCCATCATGATTGGGATGTAAACTAGTGAGAATTAGTTTCTCCGATAGCTAAAATTAGTCGACCGTAATACTTAACCTGATTTTTTTGGACCACGCTATTGGTCTAACCACTCTGTCGCCTAGGACCAAACGTCACCTATTACTAAGACGATACGGTACTCCTATTTTCAACGCCAGCATCTGTGCGACTGCGTTGAATACTTTACCTTTTTAGGGGTTAATTTGTTTCGACAAACTAGAATAGCGCTTTCGGGAACGCTGAGCTGGCACAGCATACATGAGACGGCGTCAAACGAAAAGATGCTTACAAACCTAAGTACGAATCACGATTTGGGCACACCATTGTAAAGAGGATGATCTCCTCTTTTGATTGATGCATTCAGATCTACAAAAAGTGAAAAACTCACTGAGCGACGAGTCTCAGAAAAACATGCCTCCTTGAAAAAACATTTTTTGGAAAAAAATGTTTTTAGACCACTAGAAACCATATTTCTTACTGAATCGATTGCACCTGCTCCCAGTATCTAGTTTGCTTAGCTTCCTTTCTAAAAATGTGTTTTAATTTCGGAGATCTCAATCTCGTGGGGTATATTTTGAACTTTTGGGTACTAAATTTTTATTTTTTGGGTTTTTGGGTATAGGATGGAAGGATCATTCTGATGTATTGCTAACATTCCGCTCACGGATTGACCTAATTGTCCTTCTTCGCTCGCTTGCGGCTTCGGGTCCCAGTCTTGGGCTGCGCTGATGTAGCTTTTGATACGTTTGCATGGTCTTCATTCTCTTCTTTACAATCGACAGG